CTGTAGTCCCAGCTACTCAGGAGGGAGGGCTGCTTGAACTCAGGAATTCAAGGTTACTGTTAGCTAGGCTGGCGCCAGAGCACTCTATCCTGGGAGACCGAGCAAGACTTCATCTTAAAATAAATAAATGAATGAATGAATAAAAATTTTAAAAATTAAAAAAAATAGTATTGTTTATTCCATTTCCATTAATATGATTATATCTATCATGTTGCTATTTGTTTCATGTCTGTCCCATCTACTCCATTTTTTTTTTTTTTTTACCGTGTTTGGCTGGGGCTGGGTTTGAACCCACCACCTCCAGCTTACGGGGCTGGTGCCCTACCCCTTTGAGCCACAGGCACCGCCCTGTCCTATCTAGTTTGTTCTCTTCATTCTCTTTTGCCTTCTTTTGGTTCTTTTCTTAGTGGTTGCTTAATGTTTATGGCCTACATTTTAAAATTATCTCCGTCTACCTTCAAATGTTGTATCACATTACAATACCACATGTAAGAACATCACAGTAGTGTACTTACTTTCTCCCCAGTCTTTGTGTAGTTTTGTCATCTATTTTACTTGTGTAGATGTTATTAAACCTGATGCTACATTATTATCATTTTTACTTAAACAGTCAATTGGTCTTAAAGAGATTTAAACAGCAAAAACATCTTGTATATTTGAACACATAGTTACCGTTTTCAGTGTTTTTTTTTTTTTTTGAGGCAGAGTCTCACTATGTCACCCTCTGTAGAGTGCTGTTGTGTCACAGCTCACAGCAACCTCCTCCAACTCTTGGGCTTAAGCACTTCTCTTGCCTCAGCCTCCCAAGTAGCTGGGACTACAGGTGCCCACCACAATGCCCGACTATTTTTTGGTTATAATTGTCGTTGTTTGGCGGGCCTGGGCTGGGTTTGAACCTGCCAGCTCCAGTGTATGTGGCTGGCGCCCTAGCCGCTGAGCTACAGGCTCCGAGCCCATTTTCGGTGTTCTTTATTCCTTGGTAGGCATTCATATTTCCTTTGTTATTGTTTCGTTTGCCTGAAGACTTCTTCTGACATTTCTTACACTGCAAGTCTGCTGAAGATGGACCCTTTTGGCTTTTGTACGACAGAAAATGTTTCCATTTTGTCTTCATGTTAAATGATTTTTTTTGCTGAGCGTGACTTTCTAGATTGGCAGTTTTAATTCTTTTGGTGGTTTGATTTTTCCTTTTACTGATGATTATATTTTATGATCTTTATATGTCTGCAAATTTTTCTTTAGTTGGCAAACATTGTGAATTTTTTGGGTGGTGGATATTTTTACACTCCTGTAAATATTCTTCAGTTTTTTATTGGGATAAAGTTAAGGTTACTTGGAAATGATTGGATTTTTTTGGATCTTGCTTTTAGGGTTTTCTGGGTGGGGGGCGGGGGCAGAGCAGTTTTTAGTCTATAGCTAATTGTTCCCCACTACTGAGGCAAGACCCTCTGTATACTCTACCCAATGCCCCTTGAATTGTGCAGTTTCCCAGTCTGGCTAGTGGGCAGGCACTGTTTCAGATGGGGGCGTGGTTGCTGTTCCCACCCATCCTTTCAGGCCCTTCTGTTCCCTGTCTTGAGCAGTTTCCCACATGATATACTGACCAGTCCTCTGCTGAATAGACCTCTGTAGACCTGCAGGGTTCTCTCCAAGCGGCCCTCTCCCCGCCAGTACTATGTCCAGGGAATTCTAGCAACCTTGGTCTCTCTGGACTCTCAGCAACGTCTCTTCAATGCAGGAGCCCACTATGCTGCAGTGCGGCTGCCTACCTACTTTGTGGCCTGGAAACTCTCCTAGGCAGTAACCAAATTGAGGACTCACCTGATTTGTTTCTCATCTCCCAGAAGTTCCTGTCCTTTTATTTCCCGACATCATGATATCAAGTACCTCGAAAGTGATTTTTGGTTTTGTTCTCAGAATACTATGGGGGTACAAATGCTTTGGCTGCATGAATTGCTTTTGTACGGTTTGAGTCAAGGTTATAAATGTTCCCATCCCCTGGATACGTGCAATGTGCCCTTTAGGTGTGACGTGAACCCTCCCCTCCTGCCCCCGTCACCGGCTTGCTTTCCATTGAGTATCACTACCATCGTGCACATGGGTGTGCATTGATTAGTTCCAGTTTAATAGTGAGTATATGTGGTGTTCCTGTATCCATTCTTGCTGTACTTGACTTAGAAAAATAGTCTCCAGTTCCATCCACGTTGTTAAAAAGGTGTTAGTTTAACATTGTTTTTAACATATACCACGTTGTAGTAATCCATTCATATATTGATGGGCACTTGGGTTGATTCCACTCTTTGCGATTGTGAACTGTGGTGCAGTTAACATTTAAGTGCCTTTTTGACAAAATGACTGTTTTTCTCACCCAGTGGTGGGATTGGTGGGTCACATGGTGGGTCTACTTTTAGTTCTTTGCGGTATCTCCATATGACTTTCCATAGAGGTTGTACTAGTTTGCAGTCCCACCAATAGCGTATAAAATTCCTTTACCTCTGTATCCAGCATCTATTATTTGGAGGTTTTCAATAAAGGCCATTCTCACTGGAGTTAGGGGATATTTCATTGTGGTTTTGATTTGCATTTCTCTGATGGTAGGAGATGCTGAGCTTTTTTTTTGTATGTTTATTGGCTATTTGTCTGTCTGTCTTTTGAAAAGCTTCTGTTCATGTCTTCTGCCTGCTTTTTTATGAGGTGGTTTGATATTTTTCTTGCTGATTCAATCATCAGCAAGAAAAAGATTCTGATCATCAGCTTTTTAATTGCATGTCTGGCATACAGATTTTTCTCCCATTCTGTTGGTCATCTGTCACTATTGATGGTTTCCTTGGCTGTGCAGAAGCTTTTTAATTTAAACAGGTCCCATTTGTTAATTTTTGTTTTGTTTTTATCCCATTCATTTTTTTCTGGTTGTTTCAGTAGGGAGGGTAAATCCTACCCTTTTATTTAATCTTGGCCCAATGCAACTCAATCCTAATAGACACACACTATGTTTATTTCCAGGTGAGATGCCTGTTTCCCTTGACAAATGTAACCTCTCTTTGCTATTCTGCATTGATATTTTTTGTTTTTCAGATTTCCTCCTTATGACAAACTCATCACAGATTAACCATATTTTCTGGAGTTATCTAGTGTCTACTTTTAACAGTGTCTTTTAAACATGGGATCCCCTGAGATATTCTGTGGATAAACAAATTGACCTTCATTTTATGTTGGTTTCTTTAAAAATTAAATTTTGATTAAACTTTAATTTTTTCCCTCCTCTTTCCTAGAAAATTTATCCTTTAGTTATGTTATTTAACTCTAATACTCATGTTTACATATATGGATGTTTTACATAAATGTGCCTTAGAATTTACCTATAAGAAGTCCGGCCTTTAGGTAATTCTTCAATATATTCAGAAACTTTGAAAAGTCTAAACTAATTTTTGAACATTGTTTTTTTTGTTTGTTTTTTGTTTTTGCCTGTGGCTGGGTTTGAACCCACCACCTCCGGCATAGGGGGCCAGTGCCCTACTCCATTGAGCCACCAGCGCTGCCCAATTTTGAACACTGTAAAGAGCATCTTTTAAGTAAAATACTTTGCTCCTTCTGTCACATTCACGAAAGTGCCCAAAGTCTTCAACTTTCCATATCTTTATAATATTTGCACTCAGGTTTATTTCAGAGTAAAGTACTTTTTACTATTCATTTTATTAATGCAAATTTATCTACTGAAAAATTGAGACTCATTTTAAAAAAAATCTGTCCTCAGACTTTTTCTTTTTACCTTATAGTGTAAAAGTGAAGATGATTTAGTCACTTGTGATTTTCCAGTGTTTTTTTTTTTTCCTGTAATGGTGGGAGTAATGGGGTGCCTGTGTGTGCATGTATGCCTGTGTGTGTGTGCGTGTGCGTGTCTGTGTGTAGGAAGAGGCGGTATCTGCATGAAAAGGGTCTCTACTTTTTCAGCCTGTTGGTGGTGATTTTATCACTTTTGACTTCCTCAATTATTTGTATTCCTCATTTTTTTCCTTGATAAATTAAGATGATAAGCATCTTTGTATTAGATGACAGCTCTTAAATAGAGCATAATTAATAATTTTAGAATTTGGGGTAGGATTTGTTCTAACAAAGAGCTTCTCCTAGAAAGTAAGCAAATGGTTACATTCTATGGCAGATGTGTTTATCTCAACTTAGTAACTTAAAAGTTGACATTTGCGGTACTTTTTCTTTAGATTTGAAAATGTAGATATTGTACCTGAATCACTTTTCAATTTCATTTGCTTTTATGAGAGTTGAGCTTGAATTTGTTACGTATTCATTTACAAGGAAACTAGAGTTCGTGGGAAATGTAGAAAATACATTTCATTCCACATGAATTTTCATTTTAAAGGAGGAGAAATCGTTGCCTCTCTAAAGTCACTTCTGTCATTTTTTAGGCATCAAAATTAATAAAGATGATGAAATTTTAATCTTTCAATAAAATCTTTTAATTAACAAAGTTGATGAAATCTGTTTTTAAACAGATGAAATTAGTGAATAGATACGAGCTCTATTGATATAATTGATAAAGAATTTCAGGTTAAAACTTTATAATAGTTACTCAGTTTTGCTCTATTTAATAAATCTAAATTTTATTAAATAATTAATAGAAAATTATTTATTAAATAATTAATAGAATTATTAATATTATGTTAAGAAACATAATTATTAGAAATATGTGTAAAGGATGATGCACTTTAAATAATGTTTTGAACATGGTAAAATTCAAAATTAAGCTAATTCTCTTCAATAGGATATTTATTTTTCTTTAAATGTAAATTCCAATGTAATAAGACAATCAACCAGAAACATTTTCTTGGGATAAAATATTGCCGTTCACTTTTGCTGATTCAGAAAGCAGGATTAGAAGCGTAATATTTTAAATACGTTAAAATTTTATCATGACCAATAACTATATCAAGTACAGTAGAGATATTCACCAATTCTTTTTATGGCATCTCTTGTGTATTTTTTTAGATTAACATTTTATCTTGGAATAATTTTGATTTTCAGACATCATGTATTGATTGATTGATTGATTGATTGACAGAGTCTCACTATATTCCCCCTGGCTAGCAGGCCATGGCATCATAGCTCAAAGAAACCTCAAACTTCTGGGCTCAGGTGACCCTCTTGCCTCAGCGTGCAGAGTAGCTGGGACTACAGATGCCCACTACCACACCCACCTAATTTTTCTATATTTAGTACAGATGGGGTCTTGCTTTTGTTCAGGCTGGTCTTGAACTCCTGAGCTCAGGCAATCTGACCATCCTGGCCTTCTAGACTGCTGGGATTACAGGTGCCAGCCACTGGGTCTGGCCAGACATCATGTTTTAAAGTTCTTTTCAGACACATTCAAAGCTATTTGTTATAAAACTAAGAATCTCAATAAGCTCAGCATATCAACACATTTACATGCCAGTATTATATTTTTCTTCAAAGGCTAGTAAATACATCATGATGTTATTTCTTAATCAAATTTTTTAATGCATTTCTTTCTAGTAAATACATTTTTATTATAAGCAAATTTTCTAAATTAATGTTATTAGAATACATTTTCCAAATTGTAAGAATTAAATTGAACGGCAAGCTAGTATCTCAATCCAACTTAAGAATTTCTTTTTGTAAAATAAACAAACAGAAAACAACTTATCCAGGATTATAGCTCTGGGAAGGTGGAGGTTTACCCTTGAAGTATGCAGTGCTTTTAAATGAAAATCAATCCATTTCTAAATACTTAAGACTACTGGTTTTGCAGACATTGATCTTTCGGCCTTGGTTTTGATCTGACTAAGCAACTCTTGATACTGGTTTTTATCATATAATTGTACATGACCCAGTACACAATCGCTCACTACACAATATGAAGCTCTTCATTACTGCTGCTTGAGGAAAAGGAGGACTCTTTGTCTGACCCTTTCACAGTGATGGAGGGAGAAGGGAGTGATGCTGTGAAATCATCTATGAATGGAAAATGATAAAATCGTGGATCACTGACCTAGAGAGATGTTTGCTATTTATTTTAGGGGCCTTGATGCTCTCAGCAAGAAAGTGAAACCTTCCACAGTCGACTTGCCCATAGAGTCTGTGAGTCTCAGTCTGCGGGACCTGATCGGCTATTTCCACCCCCCAGATGAGCATTTAGAACATGAGGACAAACAGAACCGACTACGGGCCCTGAAGAATCGGCAGAATCTCTTCCAGGAAGAGGTGACTTTCTAAAAACCCATGCTTTCTGCTGTTCTCTGGGGAAAACAGCTTCTTGGAGAGGGGTGGGGTTCTTCACCTATTTGAAATCTTTGCCTTTGGAGGTATGGAGCAGCAGGTGTAGTACTGAACAGAGGAAGCAAGGCTTGCGGGAAGCTGGACATTCGCTTTAGTTCTCTATCCATGAATGTTAATTTTAAAGGATGAAGCTTCACAGTTCCCTGGCAGGAGACATTTAGTGTCTACTCTGCTCTCATCCAGGTGATTTGTAAGCAGTATCGTTTGCTTTATGTTGATTACATCAATGCAGAATTGTTATGTGTCCGAGAGATGGCAGACTTGACAAAGCATCATGGTTTTCAAACTATTCATCAGGTTCCTGCAGGCTCCTCCGAGGCGGTACAGCCAAGCCAGGTTCATTGCCCACTGGGGATGAGGAAGCCAGTCCAGTGAAACAGTGGGGTTCCAGGAGAGCAAGTTTAATATGCGAGGAGACTGGAAGAATTTCTCAAATCTGTCTCTCCGAGAGTTGGGAGAAAGGGTTTTTCAGGATAATTTGGTAGGCAAAGGGCTAGGCAGTTGGGTCTACTGGGGATGAACTCATAGGACTGGGAAGCAGAAACTGTCTTTTTTCCCCTGGTTAATATAAGGGTACAAGTAGTCCACAGTGCTTGTGTTTGTAAGGCAAAGTCTATGTCCCTCAGATAGGAAGTGTGCCATATGCCCGCACGTTATCCCCACTGGGAAAGAACCCACCCATCCTCCTCCCCTCTTCCCACTGCTTGGATTCAGTTCAGAGTTTTTTTCTCATGTGAACATGTTGTTATTAATTAATCTACAGGTTTCAAATTAGCATTGATTACGTGTGATGCCTGTCTTTCTATGGTTGTGATACTTCACATAGGAGAGTGTTCTCCAAATCCATCCACGTTGTAACAAAAGATACAAAATCTCATCTTTTAGTATTCCGTGGTGTACATATGCCACAGTTTGTTAACCCATTCATGTGTCAAAGGGCACTTGGGTGGTTCAATTGTAAATTGGGCTGCTATATAAGCATTTTGAGTTCATATGTCCATATGGTAGAATGACTTTTTCTTTTGAGTAGATCTTCAGTAATGGGATTGCAGGATCAAATGATAGGTCCACTTTTAATTCTTTGTGGACTCTCCATATTGCTCTCCATAAAGCCTGTGCTAGTTTGCAGTCCCACCCACAGTGTGGTAGTGTTCTCTTCTCTCTGTACCCGCACCAGCATCTGTTGTTTGGGGACCTTATGATGTGGGCCATTCTCATGACATGGAGTTTTAATTTCCATTTCTCTGATGATCAGAGAAGATGAGCATTTTTTCATGCGTTTGTTGACCATTTGTTTGTGCTCATGAGAAAAGATTCTGTTCATGTTGAAAGGGTGGCACTTGACTGGCAGAGATCTCACAGACCACCGAGGCTTGTACGAAAGATCTTTATTGGCAAGGGAGGGAGGCTGCAGAGCAGCACCGAGGAAGAGGGAGGAGAGAAGAGGAGAGAGAGAAGAGGAGGAGGGATCAAAACAAAAGTGTGCCCTTATATAAGTTCAGTTAGGGGAAGTCTCAGAATGATGACGGGACGGTAGAATAGCCAATAAGGAGTTACTGCTCTGGCGGGAAGAGCCGTTAGGGGCGGGCCATAAGTTTGAAACTTTCAGCAGGTAATTGGAACAGGGAGATGAGGTCAGGGGGCAACTCCCTGTGCTTGGAAACGAGCTGTAACTTTAAGAGTGATACAGCTAGTCTTGGTCTGTTGAAAGCAGGAAGGGGCTTTCTGGGGAAGGGGCTTTTCTGGAGCAGTTACCTAACACATGTTATTTGCCCCAATTTTAATGGGGGTGTTTGCTCTTTTTTGTTGGTTTGCTCAAATTCTTTGTAATTCTAGGTTTTAGCCCTTTGTCAGGTTTTCAGCATGCAAATATCTTCTCCTATTCTGAAGGTTTTCTCTTTCCTTTGCTGATTATGTCCTCAGCTGTGCAGAAACTTTTTACTTGATCAGATCCCACTTATTTATTTTTGGTATTGCTGAAATTGCCTTTGGAGTCTTCCTGACAGATTTCTTTCCCAAGATTCTTGTGTTGCTAAGAGTCTTTCCCATACTTTCTTCCAGATTTTTTATAGTTTTGTGTCTTAGGTTTAAATCTTGTATCTAACATGAGTTAATTTTTGCAAGTGGCAAGAGGTATGGGTCCAGTTTCAGCCTTTTACAGTGGTGAACCTGTTCTCCCTGCACCATTTATTAAAAAGGGATTCTTTTCTCCAGTGGATACTTTCATTTACTTTATCAAAGATCAGATGGTGCTCTGAGACTGGTTTCATCTGTAGGGTCTCTGTTCTGTTCTGCTCTGTAGTTGTATGTCTGTTTTTTTCCACAATACTATGCTGTTTTGATCACTGTTGACTTGTAGTATAATCTAAAGCAGGCAACCTCAAACTAGAGCCCACAGGCCACATGCAGCCCGCCTAGGACATTTATCCAGTCTGCCGGGTGTTTTTGCTGCCACTGCCTGTCTTGCTTAGCAGCTGACTCTTCCTGGGGCCCGCAGTCTGACCCTCCAATGGTCTGAGGGACAGTGAACTGGCCCCCTGTTTAAAAAGTTTGAGGACCCCTGATCTAGAGTCTGGTAATGTGATTCCTCCAGATTTGTTCTTATTTTGTCGTATTGTGTTGATTATTTGAAGTTTTTTCTAGTTCCATAAAAAAATGTAGAACTATTTTTTCAAGATTTTCTGCATACGATATTAATTAATGGGGATTGCATTAAATCTGTAGATTATTTTGGATAGTACAGACATTTTAACAGTTGATTTTGCCCATTCATGCGTGTGGTTTGTCCTTTCATCTGTTAAAAAGAAATCTCCTATTTCTTTCCTCAATGTTTCATAATTGTCTTCTTGTGCTGAGCCAGTTCTCAGAACACATGACCTATGGTGTTGATTCCTTGGGCCCAGCTAGCAGGGTTAGGTGGTCCACCAGAATGCAGAATCCGAAACATATCTTAGCAACCATCCTTGCATTTCACAAGGGTGATGTTATCTATGGGAGGAATGAAGAACTCTTAAGAATCTTTTATGGGCTCGGCACCTATAGCTCAACCGGCTAAGGCGCCAGCCACGTACACCTAAGGTGGCGGGTTCGAATCCCCAGCCGGGACCC